CCCAGTTAACTATGTTTGACGAGTATACTCGTCATGAAGAAGTGGTAGAATATTGTGTCATGACGAGTATATTCGTCATGTATATAAAGCAATGAACATTGGCTATTTAAATTGTAGTTTTTGGAAAAAATGAAGTATATTCTTCAATTTTAAGATGTTTAGAATATTTTAAGGCTAGGCCAGGATAAAATAAATATATAAAAAATATGGAAAATTTGAGATGAACTCATGTGTCCTTGCAAAATTTATAAAATTATAATGCAGCGCTATCTATCGAATACTTACAGAAACCAAAGGACTAAGATAAATAATATAAATAATATATCCCTAAATTGACAATAAAAATATTATAAATCGCTAAATAACCTGCTCTATTTTTTAAGTTAGAGAAAATCAAATAAAATAAATCAATTTTTATTTAGATCGGTTGAGTTGTTTCGATGTTTATCGAGGACAAACAATTATAATTAAAAAACATAATATAATGTAATATAGTTTATATCTTTTGTTAATAAAGCAAAATAAAAATACACAAATATTTCGGAGAATTTAAATTAGAAATAAATTAGCGTAATATTGCAAACTTTTTCTTTTATTATTTTACATTAGATTAACATAATTAACTATATTCAATCCAAAAATAGGTATTTTTTTGATCCTATAACCTAAAAATAAGAAAAAGAAACTACTTCTGCAGACATAATTTTTTCTGTAATTTTTTGATTATTCGTCAAAATGAAATAATGCTTTTTTTTAAACTAAAATTTGATTTGCTTTTAAACAGAAAGTAGAAAAAGAATTTGGTAACCTTAAAAAATGAAAATTTATAAAATTATAATGCAGCGCTATCTATCGTATACTAACAGAAACAAAAGACTAGCAAAACTTTAAATAAATATTACAATATAAACAAAATAATGCATATAATGTAAAAAATTCAAATTTTTATTTTGAAGTGGCACTAGTTCATTGAACTCGTATTAACCCTCTAAGTGCTATGGACGTATATATGCGTTTAGTAAAAATTACTAACCTGATCTTTCGAAGTACATACGTGTTTGTTAATATTAATGTAAAATAATTTAATATTTATATTAAAATTAATTAAATTATATTCAAAAACAAAAACATTAATTATAAAATTTAATTTATTATTAAAATCCGGTTAATAATAAATTATTTTCTTCCTAAAAAACATTTTAGGTAAAAGTATTCAGCACTCAAAGGATTAATACGGGTTATATTAGTGTAAAATCAAAAATATAGGATGCCATTAAAAAAAAAAAAAAAAATAAACGAAGCCTTAAAAAACATTAAACAACAAATTATTTTAAACTTATTTTTATTGCAATGTATAGTCAATCAAAAACAGATCAACTTTTGTTTGAAGTATTTTTTCGTCAGATTATCCGAAATACGTGAAAAGAGTTGTATGCGACACGCCAACGACATTTATTCTGTTCTTGACGAATATACACGTCATTGGTCGATTAGTGCAATTCACAGCGATGCGCACTTTTTAAATGGATCGTCATAGTTAAGTGGTTAAATGCGTAAAATATTGAAACGATTGTAAACCCCTTCGTATAATGACGAAGTGAAAAAAGTAAAAAAATATGAGAAAGAAGAAACTTCATGATTTGTTACAAATCATTCCTACGTAAATGCACTTTGCTCGATAGATTATTTCTCGATCGATAAATCGAGCAGATCGAAAGAGAAAAGGAAGTCTCAGGGAAACGTACAATGTATACATATATGATATTTTTCGTAGATAACAACGTATATTTATTTATTTTTTTTTTCTTGTACGTGCGTATGTTTCTTATTTGCTTTAACGTCTCTCTGTGACATACTTTGCATAAATCGGTACTATGTATTAATTACTATTATAATTATATCGATATTGTAAACCAATGAGGATTGGTTGAAACAAAATTATTTGCATTTCATTTATAAAAAATAATATAATACAGAAATATAATAAATTTTGTTCATAAGTTATATTTCATTGGCATCTGCATAATTATGCTTTAGTAACGTTTGAACACATTTTGTAAGGATCAATTTACAGAATTTCAAAATATATTATCTCTCAATTATTTTCCATAATTTATACAGTAATATATAATACCATACATTTTTTAAATTTGTGTACTTCTAATTTTGTTTATAAGTAACATTTAATTGGCATCTTTATAATTATGCTTTAGAAATGATTGAACATATTTTGTGAAGATCAATTTAAAGAATTTCAAAGTATATTATCTCTCAATTATTTTCCATAACATATACAGTAATATATATAAAATACCATTTGTTTTTTAAGTTTTCCTACTTCTAATTTTGTTTATAAGTTACATTTATTTGGCATCTTTATAATTATGCTTTAGAAATGATTGAACATATTTTGTGAAGATCAATTTACAGAATTTCAAAATATATTATCTCTGAATTATTTTCCATAATATATACAGTAATATATAATACCATACGTTTTGTAAATTTGTGTAATTCTAATTTTGTTTATAAGTAACATTTAATTGGCATCTTTATAATTATGCTTTAGAAATGATTGAACATATTTTTTAAGGATCAATTTACAGAATTTCAAAACATATATCTCAATTATTTTCCATAATATATACAGTAATATAAAATATCATATGTTTTCTAAATTTTTGTACTTTTTATTTTGTTCATAAATAATATTTCATTGTCATCTTTATAATTATGCTTTGGAAACGATTAAACATATTTTGTGAAGATCAATTAAAAGAATTTCAAAATATGTCTCTATTATTTTCCATAATATATACAGTAATATAAAATATTATACGTTTCTTAAATTTGCTTACTTTTAATTTTGTTCATAAGAAACATTTAATTGGCATCTTAATAATTATGCTTTAGAAAGGATTGAACCTAATTTGTAAAGATCAATTTACAGAATTTCAAAACATATTTTTCAATTATTTTCTATAATATTTACAGTAATATATAATATCATATGTTTTCTAAATTTTGGTACTTTTAATTTTGTTCATAAATAATATTTCATTGTCATCTTTATAATTATGCTTTAGAAACGTTTGAAAACATTTTGTAAGGATCAACTTACAGAATTTCAAAATATATTATCTCTCAATTATTTTCCATAATATATACAGTAATATATAATACCATACGTTTTTTAAATTTGTGTACTTCTAATTTTGTTTATAAGTAACATTTAATTGGCATCTTTATAATTATGCTTTAAAAACGATTGAATCTACTTTGTAAAGATCAATTTACAGAATTTCAAAACATATCGCTCAATTATTTTCCATAATTTATACAGAAATATATAATACTATATGTTATTTAGATTTTTGTACTTTTAATTTTGTTCATAAATAATATTTAATTGGCATCTTTATAATTGTACTTTAGAAATGATTGAACATATTTTGTGAAGATCAATTTACAGAATTTCAAAATATATTATCTCTCAATTATTTTTCATAATATATACAGTAATATAAAATATTATACGTTTCTTAAATTTTCTTACTTTTAATTTTGTTCATAAGAAACATTTAATTGGCATCTTAATAATTATGCTTAAGAAAGGATTGAACACATTTTGTAAAGATCAATTTACAGAATTTCAAAACATATTTTTCAATTATTTTCTATAATATATACAGAAATATATATAATACCATATGTTTTGAAAATTTTCATACTTTTAATCAAATTGAAATCGAGACAATCTAATCTCCGTAAAGATTTCTTTCATTTGTTCGATTTACCAACTCAACATAATTAACAACGTCGTAGTAAACAAGGTATGTGTGAGACAATGGTTAATCAAAATACACCTGTTGCTATCTTTCTCAGTGATTCTCATGTTTTATCTAATCAAATTTCATGAAAATCATTGAACAATATAAAACGTTCTTTCAAATTATTCTTATTTGAAATTATAAACATCATTATATCATAGTCCATGACTTATTTCGCGGTGTCATGGGTAAAATATTCAAGAAAGACCATGAAATGTTAAAAGAAGAAAAGAAAAAAAAATGCTTTAGAACAAGCAAGCAAGTAAGTAAGCACACATTTATTCTTTGAAATGAAGGAAGATATCAAGAAGTTATCGTTATGGCACTTTGATAACGCCATCATCGGTGGGGGGTCCGTTTGTATTAGTTCAAATGTGATAACAGAATAAACATCAATTTAACGACTTCTGTCTGTAATTTTTTTTTCGTAATTTCTTTTTTCTTTTCTCGTTATTTCTTTTTTACATTTTGTTTGTTTTTTTTTTTTTTTGCTTCAATTCAATCAAAATTATCATATAATTTTCACATCTGTATCATTTTTTTCTTCGTGCTCATACCAAATGAGTTATAACAAAATTTATTCGAGTTACATAACCTAAAAAAAATTCTAGATAATTTATATTTCCTTTTTTTTTCTTTTTTTTTTAAATATTGCTCATTAATTGAAGAAGTATATCATATATATATATATATATATATATATATATATGAATATGATGAATATATGATATATAAAAGATATTCACAGAGACAGAAATCAGTACACATGAGTGTTTGATGATGAATATCTTTTGAACGCTTAATTTAATCGCTAAAACATAAGACACCATTTTTATAGAGCACTTAATTTCCTACAATAATTTCTATTGTGCACTTTTTAATAATCATTTATTGTCGAGTTATAAAATTATTCATCAACAAAAATGAAATTTGTCTTATATTTGTCTTAAAATAATCAAACTTAAATCTTCAATATCATTCAAATGGTGAGGTTTACAGAAAAAGTATAAGATACCTTTTTTGTAGAGCATTAAATTTCCTACAAAATTCATCTAGAACATTTTTCTGTACAATCAATTAATAATGAGATATGAATTTTATTCTATTGGACTGAAAAAAAAAATAAAAAACTGCGATGTGGAGGATCTTCCTATTAAAATGAAGAGCTCATATTTGGTGAGAATTCTTTTAAGGTGTCTAGCAACCCATTTTTCCGTGGCACTTAAAAAAAAGAAAAGAAGTCATTTTTTTGACCCACCCTAATATATATATATATATATATATGAAATGACTAGGGGGGCCCCGGCCACGCGTTGCTGTGGCTTTTTTGACGTGAAAACTTCTTTAGAATCAGATTGATACGTTCATTTAATATAATTTTAAACTGTTCAATGAAGTCTAATTATTATTCACTTAAAATTATTTTAATAAAAGTTGAAAAAGTTGAAACAAAAATTTAATTTATCGTAATGCTATTGGATGTACAATATTTTTGGTTAATCCTTCAGGAGTATACACAAACAAATTCGATGATTTTCCAACCCTGAAACACGCAACATATAATTGGCCGTGAGAAAAGCACGGATTTTTTAAATCTTGACAACAGTGTCAATTGAGTAACTTCTTCAAACACTAATTAGATCATAATGTAATATTTCAATTAGCGCATGATTTTTTTTAACACAATAATAACACGAAGGAAACGATAAGAGAAATATATCGAATATATCGAAAGGTATAATATCAACAAAAAATATCGACTAACTTCAACCTGTAAACTTTTAAAATCGGTCCAGTCGTCTCTAGGAGGAGTTCATGACATATAAAGAATTTAATTTTTTACAAACATGTAAATTTAATAGAAAATTATATAAAATACGCACTTCAATTCCACACTAAATTTGCAAAATGTATAATTTTTTATGCACACTTTAAAACTCTTCAAACATTAATTAGATCTTAATGTAATATTTCAATTAGTACGCGATTTACAAACTGAAATCGAATAACTTTGATTATCGACTGGAATATTTTCTATAACTCGAATATCGTCTAACTTCAACCTATAAACTTTACGATTTACAAACTGGAATCGAATAACTTCGATTATCGACTCGAATATTCTCTATAACTCGAATATCGACTAACTTCAACCTATAAACTTTACGATTTATAAACTGGAATCGAATAACTTCGATTATCGACTCGAATATTCTCTATAACTCGAATATCGACTAACTTCAACCTATAAACTTTTCGCATAACAATTTATAAATAATAAAATTAATTAAATAAACAACTTAAATTGGAGCGAATTGTAACGCAAAACAATTATCGAATCCACCTGAATACACATACAAAATTTCATTAAAATCGATCCAGCCGTTTAGGAGGAAATTACAATTACATAAACGTGCACAGAAGAAATATGTATATATATAAAGATATTCATTAGATTTGGAAGGTTGAAATTAGGTCAGCCATTATCTTTATGAGTTATTGATGTTGAATGAGAAAAAAAAAGATTAGAAGAGAAAAGTAGTGGGGATGGATGAAATTTTGTGAGGACAAAACAACGGCAGCAGATGCCAGACTATAGATAAAAATGTTAAATAAATGGAAAAAAATGTCGGCCTTTGTCTTTAGATCTTAAACTAGGATATGATCCTACGTAGTAACTTTACCTTTCCCCTTAAATGATCGTATCTTTATGATCTCAAAAAAAAAAAGAAAAACACTATAAGACGATCGCTACAAGAAAATCACTTTTTTTTTGACGAATTGATAAAAATCCGAATCTTCATTGGTCATTTTTAATTTTAAATATAACCAATTACAATAAACCAACAAAACTAACTAAATTAATTTGATTATTGTTCATAATCGATCAGCTTAGATAACAAAAAGAACGATTTTGTCATAAATTGTGTCCTGTAAAAAAGTAACAAAATACTAATACTTATTTCTGCCACCAGGGCGGCATGGTGATCACCTCGATCCTAGTGACGTCACAAAAAAACCGTTGAGCATTGTGTATTTGTAAACATACATGTGGATAAATATTCTTGTACGGTGTTCAACATTTTTACATTTTTCAAGAAATAAAAATAGTATTGTTGAAAATGATGAAAAAGTTTGCTATAAAAAATTGTTTTAGTTGCTATTCAGCTGAAAGAAAATTAAAATCGGAGTTAAATCAACGACAAACAGTTTTATAACCAATATAAAATATATAACATTATTTAGAATTATTCTCCCTTCGTTAGTCTGCTTGTTCGTCAAATTTTAAATAAATAATTGAATAAACAATAATTACATAAATCTGTTTATAATTTTAGGTATGCACAAATGATTTTATTTAATATTGTTGAGCGCTAATTGATCTAAGCGACTACAGCGCACTCTGGAATAAAACTTTATTTGTTTTATATTTTGGGGATACTTTTATAGACAGTGATCGTTCTCCTAATTATCTAAGCTCCGTTTTAAAATCATTCTCGCCATAACAGGCGTGTAGGGATGATTCAAAAATATTAATTAAAGATTTTTGAAGTAGAAAAGACGTTTGTTATTTATTATCTGGGTTTAGTTCAAAAATTAGTGTACCCCCAACGTATTAATGAATATGGTACACCGTTTGTAACTTCTATCTCTCTCTGTTTCTCTTTCTCTTCTTTTTTCTTTGGCTCCCACCCCCCTCAACCTCGCATGACACCCCACGGACCGAACTGCCGGTGTCGGCGTTCTTTGATCTCGAGGATCGCGGCAAACAGGTAGAAGAGAGTCCAACGAAAGGATACAAAGAAACTACGAGAGAAAGGGAGAAAGAGATAGAGAAGAAGATTCTACCGAGTAACAGCCAATCGGATGGCTTTCTCAAACTCTAAACTCGAGAAAATATGTTCGGAGTTTTTAAATTGAGATCTGACAGAGATAGCGCCATATTCTCTCATCCTAAGATTTTACTTCTATCCTTTACTACTTACTTTCCACCACCACCACCACCACCACCATCTTTAGATCTTTCATTTAGATTTCATTCGTGTATTCTCTGATATCCCTTCCCCTTCCCCTTTCCTTCCCCTTCCCATCCCCTTCCCTTCCCTTTCTTTCCTTTCCTTTCCCTTCTCGTTATTGTCAAGAATTTGTTTTCACTGATGACAAAATTTAGTCGGAGTTTTAATAGTTTTTTAACCTTTACAGTTACAATTTTTTTATGGTGGGGAAAATAATTGACTTATAGCTGTGTACTAAGTTGAAAAAAATTCCCATAAAATGAAAAAAATTTCATTAAAATCGATTGAGTAGTTTCGAAGTTAATCGCAGACAAACAATGCTTACTAAAAAACTATATTATGTAATATAATTTATAACTATTGTTAATAGAGTAAAATAATAGTACAGAATAACACTAAACATACCATAACGGGTCAAATGACCCATTTTGAACTTTTGCATTGAAAATTCACGTATAATTTTATTGCGTTTGCACATTTGACTTCATGACTTTTTCTAAGTAATTAATGTACAGTTATAAAAATTTTTTTGTTTTGTTTTGTTTTGTTTTGTTTTGTTTATTCTGAGTAATCCTTGTTGTATACCGATATCTACCACAACGGGTCATTTGACCCGGAGAGAATTTTTTTGTTTTATGAGATTATCGAGTCATATTTGTAGTCAGTAAGTTGCACATTCTTCCAAAGACTGTTGCGTAAAGTAGCATCGGACGTCGATAGCAAATACGTCATAAATGCACTTCCATATCTTGGAAAAGATGAATATAGGCCCTCTTCAGTACCACTCTCTGAATATGTTGTACTCAAACTCATTGAGCCATTTACGGGTTGCGGAAGAACTGTGACCACAGACAACTTCTTTACAAGCAAATCCCTAGCAACACAACTCCTAGCCAAAAAAACTACGTTAGTTGGAACTATTCGGTCAAATAAAAGAGAATTACCACTAATTGCGAAGCAAAAGAAAGATGATATGGAACGATTTTCATCGAAAATKTTTACAACAGATAATTGTACTCTTACAATCTATAAAAGTAAGCCAACAAAAAAAGTACTTTTACTTAGTTCTAAACATAAATTCGTTAAAGTAGAAAACAATGATAAACGTTTACTACCTGAAACTGTTTCATATTACAATAAAACCAAATTTGGTGTAGACATGACCGATCAAATGGCGAGGAAATTTACTACAAAATCTAAGTCTTGCAGATGGCCTCTCCAAGTTTTTTTTAATATCCTTGATTTAGCTGGACTAAATGCCTGGATTTTGTACAAGCAAACGACAGGAGAAAATATCTCGAGACAAGATTTTTTACTCAAGCTAGCAGAAGAACTTGGCGCCGATTTTCGAGAAGCCCGTGAACAACCAAAACAAGAAACAAATACGAAAGAATCGTTGCCTAAGTCTACTACAGATGCTTATAAACGTATGAGATGTCAAATAGGATACTGTAAAGAAAATAAAACCAACAAAATTTGCTCTAAATGTAAAAAATATGTTTGCGGAAAATGTACAATGGACACACTTATACGTAAAAAATGCGATGAACTATGAATTAAAAATTTTTATTTTTTGCTTTTGTAATAGAAATGCTCAACATACTATTTTGTTTAATTATAATAAATTTAATTTATATTTTTATTTCCTTCCTAACATCCATATTTCATACATTCAAGCATGAAACATAAAGTCGGGTCATTTGACCCGCTATGGTAGAAATAGGTATATATTAAGTCTTGGTATGATTAGTGATAATTTATGGGAATTTAAATTAGACATAAAACAATATAAAATAATAATATAGGAAAACATATAAAAAGCAAGGTTATGTCGTAAGTAAATTTGGAAAAAATTGAGATAATTGAATTGTAATACAACGCCATCTATTAATTATTTACAGAAATTGGAAACTGAGATAATCTCTAAATAATAAATCCTTAAATTAGTAATAAAAAATACAAAAAAAAAATTGCGATAAAAACTATCCTATGTACTAAGTTGAAAAAATTACATAAAATTAAAAAATTCCATTAATCTTTTGAGGGACGATTTTTTTTTGGCGGGAAAAAAATGAATTAATGTTTTTTTCCTTTTTTTTAAACTGTATATCGGAAATAATCGTTACTAGTGCATTTAAACAAACAAAATGTTTACTTCTGTGATTGAGTTATCAAATTTTTGTTCTATTTATTATTGACATTAATTATAATTATAAAAAATTAAACGTCCACATATGTGACCAAGAGCGTGAAGAGGTTAACTTGTTAATCGGGTGGGACGTATAAATACGTCAAACGTATAGTTTTAATGCTAAAGGTACAAACCTTTGTACTTTATATATAAATAAACGAAAAAATATATATTTTATAGTCTTTTTATCTTTTTTAAACATAAATAATAATAAATAATAAATAATAAATAAATATATATATAAAAAATAATAAATAAATAATAAAAAGAGCTGCGTAATTAAAAAGGGAATTAATTAATAGGTTAGTTAGGTTAATAGGTTAAGTTATACTTCTTTTGGCGCGTTAAAGAAAAAAAATGGCGACACGAAAAAACAATTTAACAGGATGAAGTTGATCGATATTAATTCGATATATTCGATATATCATCTTTCCTATTATGTATTATTATATACAGAACACACGTGTTTTTATATCGATATAAATAATAATTATTTTTATGTAATAAAAAGTTGCTTTATAATCTTTTTAGAAAATATTTTTGTATCATTGTAGTATCACTGTATCATTGAGGTTATGTTATACATAATACATAACTAAGGTATGTATATTATTTGTTTACAT